GCTAACAAGTAACTCGCTGTCTCACAGTGAAGGGTCAGAAGTGCCCGCCATGCTCAGAGCACGCTCGAGCTGCGTTCAATTCAAATTTCCATTGGATTCTCCACTATTAAAGGGGGATACTAGGAGTTTAGACCCTAAACCCTAATCCCTAAACCCTAAACCCTAAACCCTAGGGTGATTAAAGGGGGATACTAGGACAGTGGCTCATGTGACACTTTCTTTTTTGCAAAGGCCATCTCGGACTACCCCTACACGCAGGACCAAGACCTTTTGCCAGTGTCATGCATTCTTTCAACACGCGGTTTAGGGTTTTAGGGTTTTAGGGTTTAGGGTTTAGGGCTGCTCTGGTGGCCAGTTGGCTTTCAGAGTTGAGAGTGCTGATATGATTTGGGCTTGAGAACTCTATGTGCCAGTGTGGGAATTCCTAAGCAAGCGGCAACTGGTCAACATAGAGCCCGAAATCGTAGTTTCCCTTTTCTTTTTTCATGATCCCTAATAGCGCCTCCATCATCCCTATATTACCCTATAATCCCCTACATAACCCGATACTGAGCACTTTCGGGATGTGGCGCTCTCCTGCTAAGGCCATCGTGCGATTAGCCAGATGTAAAGGCTAGGTCTGCGCTTGGGAACCCGGAGGGTTACATAGGGTTAAGGGTCGGTTATATAGGGCCATTCAAGGCTATTATACAGGATTACATAAGGGATTATGTAGGGATAGTGGAAAAGAACGTGGAAACTACTATTCAGGGTGTAGTGTCCAGGGCTTAAACCAAGCACATGAATGAGGGTAGACCTGTCAGGATCCGACGGGAAAGTGCGCGGCTGATTTGCCATATGACTGCTTCAAGGAAGTGAGGCGGGTTTAGGGTTTATTATTCCCCTTAAGTAGATAGAATATGGCTTTGGGCATGTTATAATAAAATCCCCATATACCCCATATTCTATCTACTTAAGGGGGGGTATAGGGTTTAGGGCCGCCTCATGGGAGCTTCGGGGCTCCAGAGGTTTCTGAAAACCGAAAGGTAAGAAAGTTTTACGAACCCGTGTATATAATATATAATTTCCCTATAATATGAACCCTATATAACCTCTATATAATCCCTATGTTATCTTTGCAAAATCCCCATATAACTCTATATAGCCCTATATAACCCTATTGAACCCTATTGAACCGTATATCCAGAAGTGTGATCTAAGATGGGGCACATATGGAGCCAAGGATTGATGTTCGAAGTGTCTTCCCAGCATTGCAAAACTCGGCGTTTTTAGGGTTGCAAGACCGCTGCTCTTCGCCATGTTACGGATTTCCTCCTATGTAATGTGTTTGAGACACCCTTGTTTTGCTCTCACTGCCTCCTGCCAGGTCCCAGTATTCTGATATGTTGCGAAATGGCTTCGCAACTAAGTCTGCAGATGGACGAATGTACTACCATCCCAGCATCAAGGTGGGAAAAGCGGCCGATGCTAACATCGGTTTGGGGTCTTGTAGGGATGGGAGGGCCCTCTGTGATAGGGATGGTTTCGTTTTGAGGGTGTGTGTTGGAAACACTGACCTGTGTAATTGCTGCTGGTAATCTTCCTGTCTCGTTTCTGAACTGCAAGTGCTGTGGTGCTCATGGTTCCGTTGCTGATTTCTGTTTAAGAGCTGGCGTGGTAGCACCTGAATGATTGGCTGGGTTGCTGTCAAGGGACTTAACTGAAGTTACCAGAATATGGGTATGTCGTGAATTTTGGTGCTTCCTTACGAAAGTACATTAATTGAGGTTCCTTAACAGCAACCCAGCTGGCGACCTTCAGACCTTCTCCTGAAGGCCTTCCAATCTGGGGCTGGGCTCTTTCGAAAGACTTCTTGCTTGGGCTAGTATACGCTGCAGGGCTTGCTTTTGCCTACTCGGAGTCCTGGGTGTTTGACTACTTCATTCAAGCTCTGGAACCCAACCTAAACCCAAAACTACCCTTAGATGTTGGGGGCATTGCCCCTTGGCCTGAAATCCCTCAAGCCTTCCTCTTTGAAGGCGGTGATCCTCATCAATGAGCCTGAACTGAAGATCACCTACAACAAGACCATTGCCAAGGAATCATGGAGTGAAGGGCTACCCGGCAGAGAGGGTTGTTGCACTCATCACCACCATGGTGATGATGGTGTTGGTTCAAAGTCCCCCATTTGGGAGGCTCTTGCGATTTTATTACTATTATTCTTGCCTTCTCTTCATCGATTTCCTGAAATCTCGTCAACAAGTTTGGAGACTTCAGGGCTTCCTTTGTGCAAAGAGGAAACGTATCAGAGGAGTAATGGGTATGCAGTTGCTATACTTGGCCTCTTTTCATGCTATGCCACTTACCATTCATAGAGGCTGAGTGTGAAGCGCATGCATGCGGCAACGAGGGAATTGGTTGCTGTTTACATCCACCTTGCATGGAGTTCTTTTAGCCAATCAGGTCCAAATACGCCCCCTGAGGGGGCTTATAATGGAGGTACATGTGCAGCTACAATTGGGTTATGCTCACTCTGAATCTCCAAGTACTGCAGGGCATAGGAAGTTGCTAGCTGGACTCGGAAGGGGTTGGGACAGCGTAGGTCTCTGCTTCGGGATCTTGTCCCAGGCCAGCCTATCCCTGAAGTCAAGCCCCTAAATTCCTACCCTTGGCATGGTCCGACCTCATGACCCTGAAAACTAGATCTTTAGCCCTCCACCCCGAAAACTCTGAAACGGTCAACAAGTTTTTACCCCCAAGCCTTAACCCTCAAACCAAGGTACTACGCCAAAGCCCTCCTGTCCGCAGTAGATGGAGCCCTGGCTGCGGAGGAGGACCAAAGATGGGCAATCTTTTTTGCATGAGATTAAAATGGGCTAGACAGGAGTAAACAGGGTTTGGGGAAGGGATTTATATGGTTTAGGGGTATCGGCTTGATGGCAGCATTATCTTTCCTATTCCTCTTGACTGGAAGGGGCAATGGAAGCTACTGTGTTTTTGTTGGGGGCTAGGGTTTACGATTCGCATGCTGGTTGTTTGTAATGAAGGCATGAAGGAAGAGGACACAAGCATTCCTCTTCCATTACCTACTTACCACCAGGATGCATGTGAACCTTTGAGGGATAATCGAGGGTGCTCTAGCGGTGTAGGATGTTCCCAACGACCTCCGATCATGGTTTCCCAATGTTTTACTCTCGGGATCTTGGGTAGGGGTAGGTGTGTTTCTCAAAATCTTAGGTCCTGTTGGGTGGGTCTTAGCGTAAGTATTGCATTTGCTGTATTTCTTGATTTTGTGTGTACTGTATTTATCATGCTTATTGTGGGAATGCGTATGCCCGCCTCATTATGCACCGATGAACAGAAGAGCTGTATTTCTTTTTCAGCCTCCCTGCCTAGCCACTCTGGTGCTTGGAGGACCTGCGTATAACTGGTGCTCGGCCACCTTTTACCATTGCCACCTGGCCTTAGCCGTGTGGAGATTTTTTCAGAGAGCCGAGTCTTCAAGACAAAGATTCCAGGTTCCGTGTTGGAACAAGAGTTGTCCATAACTCTCGATGCTAGCAATTACGACGTCTTTGCGCGAATCAGGTCATCCAAGCAAGCAGACTTAGACAAGTTTCCCTTCCACAATTTTCATTGAGCGCCATTTAGCCATTTTAATACAGGCATTTTTGGATGGTACCCTTCACGATTTGGTTTAGGGGATCTGCAGGGATTTGGAGGGAGGCAAAAAACAGTTTTTCTGCCAAATGGTCCAAACTTTTTGAAGCCTTCAGTTGCATTCGCGGTTCTCTGCTTGGCCTTGTTGCTAGCTCAGATAGCTCAGCTGCAGATGCACAGGGGGGTTTTCAAGCTCCCAGATTCTGGTTTAGGACCCTTCTTGAACGTTGGGATAGAAGCAGATGTAGAGGCTTCAACTGAGGGCCAGTTTCAGACGCTAGTTGCGCATGAACGTTTCTTCTTTTTTGCTAGAGCGCGGGCAGCTCATACGTCGCATGTGTGTGCTGGAGAACCTTTTGGTGTTGCAGGGAAGTATGTAGTGTTTTGCTCTTCAAGTTGGACTCCAGCCATGACTACAGCTAGTAGCATGATGACTATGGACTGAAGTCTGGGAGAAACCCATGGCTTAGCCGTGACCTATGCAGCAAGGTCCACTCCTTTGCTACGTGCGAGATCTGCAAGTCAAACGCTGCAGGCGCCACCTTGAGAACCTTAAAACTCCAAACCCAGAACTCTAAGCCGTACAGTAGTTTCCCAAAATCAGGGGTAGATCTCCAGGCATTATAATCCTTATCATAGGGACCCCCCAAAAGGGACCCCTAAACCAGGAAACCCCCACATTCTGGACCCAAATGAGCTATAGTCTAAACTCCTTAAAAGGGGGTTATATAGGGGATTATATAGGGGACTACTATAGGGGTTATTAAGGGGGATACGAGGAGTTTAGACAATGGCCCAAATGCAGCATCTGAAGTCCCGCGCCTCGAGAATCTTTTTTCTGTTTGCACTTGTTGGGTGCCAAGCCGTGTAGTGAACATCTTAGCCAACAGGTAGGTAGCTTAAAGGTGGGTAGTTCCCCACACTCCTTGTGAGAGTACTATGGAAACGCCCACCGTGCACTACCCACATGAAATTGGTTTCTGCATATGTATCTTCTTAAAACAACCCACACACAATCCCTAATAAGGGACCCCCATGATCCCCATAATCATCTCAATACATCCCTAGCATTCCCAGAGCTTTCTTTCCCCCTTTTTTGACATTCCCTTCTTAGGTCAGAAGGTACATCCAATTTCCTTTGTTTAGCTCTGCGAAATGCGCAAAACGTCGCGCAGGAAATCGCGCTGGTCAGGCCTTGTGGCTTCAGAGTAGGGTCCACGGCGTAGGGCCTGAGGTTAGGGATTAGGGTTTAGGGGTCTAGGGGTTGGAATGGAGAATAAAATGGAAAGGAACATGGATAAGAAAATGGAAGCTGCTATATTTAAGGTTCAGGGTTTAGGGGTGCCGCGTTGGGGATTCAGGGTTTAGGGTTGGTTTCAGGTGTGGGGCTCTGGTTTCAGGGTTTAGTTTTCAGGGTTTAGGCTTCAGAGAGTTCTGCGGTTAGGTTTCGCACTTTTACACTCAAAACTCAATACCCCACAGTCCCAGACCTTCGGGTAGTTCGATGGCCATGTCTGCGGAAGGGTTTTCGAGACACAAAGTACAGGGAGTTGTGCGATGAACTTTTTAAGGTTTGGAGCAGAGGATCCGGGGATTGATCTAAACCCCAGTCACTCCATGTGGTGGTTTCCCTAAATAGGGGGACCCCCAATGTAGACCCCCCAACACTATGGTCCTGAATATGAGGACCCCCAAAGAAGTAACCCCCAATTGGGGGAACCCTGCATTTGCCTGAAAGATACTCAAATAAAGAGTTGGAATAGGGACAAGCCCTCCCGGGCATAGGTGTAGGACAGCTCTTGAAGTGGGACTTTCCGTAAAGTATAGCTGACCCGGGTCTCGGATATAGCGGTCGTCTTCCGATGCTGGCTCTGAGGAAGCCAGCATGGACCCTGAGCCAAGGGTCTAGGGTTTAGGGTTTGAGGGCTAAGAAGCCACAGTACAAGAAAGCAGGAGCAGGCAAACAGAAGGTAGCGGACTCTTCCCTCGCGCTTGTTTCCATGATCTCAAACAGTTGCATATAGACCCACGTAGACCCACTTCCTCATAATTTCATCACACCAGCTGTAAGTATAGCTCCACTCCCTCAAGTCCCGAGTCCTCAAGGCAAAGGTTGGGACGTTTGCCTCCCTTGGCTTCATGTACGACTTCGTGCTGGCATGGGGACGGGGGGCGGATGTACAGGTTTGAGACTTCAGGCTTGATGATATAGGGGTATATGTGTTTCTCAAAGTTTTCCATACAGAATCTCTCAGGAAAATTCGGAATATCCCCGTAATTACCTAAGGCTTGCTAGGCCACCCCTCTTGTGGGAGACCGCCCGTAGGCCGGTGTAGGGATTGAAGATCTTGAGCAGGTTGTTGGGGCGCATGATTTCCGGATTTGAGAGTATGCTGGTGGCCTGAAGTGTCTGACTTGTAGTGCTTTGAGGGAGAGGGTAGATGGAGGTGTTTGGATCTTTCTTGTCTAGCAGCTTGAGGACAAGGCCTGGTAGGGTCAGAGTTTATGGCCTTTGTGACGATGTGCTTTTCTTTTTTTCCTGGCATATTCGAACCATACATTGTGTTACTGTACCACCTAGCTCTGTGTGTGCAGCAAACGGTACGCAAATCACGCGTGAAACGGGTCCGCCAACGTACATACAGGCTCGGTCAGGAATCCTTCCTCTGAACAGCTGATCTGTCAAGCAAGGCCTGGACCCAAGACAGAACATGTGCCAGGAGCTAGACCTAGACCGCTGTCATCATGGCTCCCTTTCGTGGATATGAATGAGTTCGCATGGTCCTCCCTTTGNNAAAAAAAAAAAAAAAAAACAGACTGAGCAAGCAATAAGAGTGCAGATGTGCCCACAAGCCGCTTCAAACCAAAGACATGGATGGTTTTCGCGGATGCACCAGAACCATGAGACTGCAAATCCGACTCCATCAATTCACGCGTGTGCTGAAGAGGCAAACCATGCCACGTTCAATGATGCAATGGTTATCCTGGAAGTTACCCTTATGCCCTCAATTTCAGTTTCTACACCTCAACCACGTGGTAGGATGCCATTTGTTGCAATTTAAGCCTCCCTGCAGGGGATGCTGTCGCCGAGCCTCTACGACTACTCGCCTCACCATGACCTCAAGGCCGCGCTGCAGCAGCGGATCATGCTGGGATTCAACACGCAGGACACCACGGATCTCTGGCACAAGATGCGGCATGGGAAGTTTTGGTGGCCTTTTGCACGTAAGGAGTCAGAGTCATTGGTTGCTGGGTTGCTCTCCCTGTTCTTTGTGGTGTTTTGTTCTTTCGGTACTGGTGATGGACAATGATGGTCAACATCCCACACTCCCTTGATGGCTTGTTTTGCTACATTGGCATTTGAATGGTGGATAGTTTGGCAAGCATCATTGCCGCCAGGGAATACGTCCCCTGTTGTTCGCTGAACTCATCTTGGACTAGTTTCTTGAACGCTAA